TTACAGACACTAGCACATAATATAAAACTAAAACCATAAGCCCAAACACCTGTCCATGAAAAATAACAAGCTCAGTCTCAAAAAAAAAAAAAAAAAAAAAACAACTTAAATTTAAGTCTCCTTTCTAAGACTTAACGGCAATGAGAACTTGCCCAAATCAGTTATCCTCTCTGAGCCAGTCTCCTCATTTGCAAAATTGTTCTACTAATAATTACCACCTGGACTTGTGGTGAGGATTACATAAAATGGTACATATGAAACTGCTTTTTAAGCTGCAAATGTACCATCATTCCAAATCAAATTGATGTCACAGACTAGACCACTTCCCCTTTAGAAATGGCTCTTCTAGGCTGGGCACAGTGACTCATGCCTGTAACCCCAGCACTTTGGGAGACTGAGGTGGGCAGATCATGGGGTCAGTAGTTTGAGACCAGCCTGGCCAACATGGTGAAACTCCGTCTCTACTAAAAAGATAAAAATTAGCCAAGCATGGTGGGGCGCACCTGTAATCCCACTATTCAGGAGGCTGAGCCAGGAGAATCGCTTGAACCCAGGAGGCAGAGGTTGTAGTGAGCTGAGATTGTGCCACTGCACTCCAGCCTGGTGACAGAGCAAGACTCCATCTCCAAAAGAAAAAAAGAAAAGAAAAGAAATGGCTCTTCTATCAGCCAAAATTTCCACTATTAATATCCATTATACTTATTCTCTTTTCCCTGAAGAGTCTGATGCCTTGTGGCTTTCCCTGCCAGACGTCAAAACACTAATGAGTACATTTTGGTCCTCAAGTAATAGATTTGCTAAATCATTTGCTAAATAATTTAGCACCATTCTTTATTAATGGATTCCTTCAATTTCTAAAATTGACAGTTTCCTATAGTATCCGTATCACCATTGAAATAAGTGATTTTTATTCTAAGTCACACATAGAAATGGCTAATCCTTACATGAAAACATTTTTCCTTGAATCTGAAAACAGTTGAGTCACTCACCCAGAGTCACACACTTTTTACAGAAAATATGGCCACAGCTGGTGACAAAGAAATGGGCTCCATCTTTTCGGAAGCACTGGTTGCAGTGAAACCAATCCATTCTGGAGCAGATAAAGAGAAAGAGTAAGAATAACCTAGGGTATAACATAAGTATAGCTGTTCCAAAATCTATGTAGCCATGCTTGCTTAGCTTCTGATAGCTTTTTGGGATGTAGACATATCATTGTGGGTATTCCAATTGGTTGTAAGGAAATACATGTACCTATAAAGTGAAAAAAAGCCAACTGCTTTTTTATAACAGCAGACTGTTATAACATTTTTTATATAAATGTGTGTGGATATGTATATGTACACATATACATATATGCATATATATACATGTATATATACGTACACATATACATATATGCATATATATATATGTGTACGTATACATATCCACACATTCAGAAAAGTAATAGGACAGACAGTGGTGAGATTTTTTTTTTGAATGGTAAAACTATGAGTATTTGTGTGTATGTGTGTTTTGCCTTTTTTTCCCCCAGATTTCCTGAATTAATGCATGTGCCAATTTTTAATTAGAAAATACAATCCTGGCCAGTCATGGTGGCTTACGCCTGTAATCCCAGCACTCTGGGAGGCTGAGGTGGGCGGATCACCTGAAGTCAAGAGTTCAAGACCATCCTGGCCAACATGGTGAAACCCCATCTCTACTAAAAATACAAAACTTAGCTGAGTGTAGTGGCACACTCCTGTAATCCCAGCTACTTGCAAGGCTGAGGCAGGAGAATAGCTTAAACCCAGGAGGTGGAGGTTGCACTGAGCCAAGATCGCACCACTGCACTCCAGCCTGAGTGACAGAGAGAGACTCCATCTCAATAAAAAAATATATATACACACACACACACACACACACACACACACACGACCCATCCATTTCTATTTTAACAATTTCCTGTGATATAGTGAAAGTGGAGCCAAGAAGAGGTAGTGAACCAGAAGATCACATATTAGCCACTTGGGACACATTTTATCTAAGGGAAACAGGGCTGATGAATGATAGTATGGTCTTAGCTTGTATACTTTCCTTCTACTCTACAGAAACAGAATCGTAGGCCTGAAAGGAGCCTTGAAAAATCACTTAATGTTTTGTTCAGTCCCACCATTTTTCAAAAGAGGTACTTGATATTCAGTGAAATTAAATGACTTGTCCAAAGCTCCATCTTTAGTGGTCTCCTGATTCCCTATGTAAAGTTCTTGCTCCCACATTAAATAGCTTTTGTGTTAGACATGGCAACCATATATCCTGTATTTTCTACCAATACCAGTTTAATATATTTTATTAAATACCTGAGTAAATGTGACTTTGTAAGATACTTTTCTTGTGGGATTATTATTATTATTATTATTATTAGGAGGCAGTATCTGGCTCTGTCTCCAGGCTGGAGCACAGTGGCAGATCAGGGCTCACTGCAGGCTGGAACTCCTGGACTCAAGCTATCCTGCCACC